GTTAGAGTAGGAGCGGGTCCACGGAAGAGGCTATGCACTTTCATACATTGGAATCTTATAAAGGCGAAACGCATTAACGTTAAGATACAGTGGTTGTCAAGGCAATTTCGTCCATTCAAGAAAAGAAAATAAAGTACGGTTAGAAATCTCTCCATCGCCTTTTGTCATCTGGGGTGAACGCGCCTCTTGTAAGGGAATTAGTAAAGCAATTGTATTTCACTGCGTTCGTATGCGAGTGGTTGTTCGCAGTGGCAGTTACTTCAATTGTAGAAAAGGGTTGGTTTGGCACTTCATGCCAATAAATACCAAAATTAATCGGCAATGAGGTGAGATTTGATGTTCCATTTTTGTTGTTTAATTTGCTATTCATTCAATTAATTATTAACATAATTTCTTAAATTAATGTCCAATTTTTCTCTAACTACTCATTATGCCTAAAATATGTGACATTTTAATGTAAAATGATGTGTCAATAATTAATTGTTGAACAGCAGATCAACTCCGATTCAATGGTCATTATTTTTAGAAAATAGAGTTTTGAACAATGATTTTTTGAAGGATGTGTGGTTAAAATTAAAATAAAATAAAATTGGGGTTTACGTATAAAATGTTTTTTGTGTAAATGTGTGATTGAAAATGAGTTAAAGAGTTAAAGAGTTTTGAAATAACAGTTGTCAAGCTAGGGCTAAAGTTTCCATTTTACAAGCTACACTATAAACGAACGGTGGACCGTATTGTCCTATACAATATTACTTCACTCCCTCGATTGCTAGTCATGTTTTCGGCATCATTTTCATTAAGCTTGTGACGATCACTGTGTAAAAGGCTCTAAAACAAATTCACAATTGTATGGTTAATTGATATTATTAGCGATTTCGATTTCATTTAGGTGAATTGGGTCCTGCAAACTAATCAGATGAAATATATTAGAAATGAGTTCATCGAGAGAGATTACAATCTTCATTTCGACTATTGTAATTAGTCTCCGTTTGTTTCTCATTTTTTATCCATAAAAATGAAAAATATGATCGTTATCCATCAAATCAAACCATCAATTTTGAATTTCTATATCTTGTGTGAAGTCCGATAAAGACTATATTTTTCATTTTCATTCTACAATAATAAGAATCAAACGGGCTCTTAATATTTTATAGTTAAAATCAAACAAAATAACCCTATTAAATGTTTTGTATTTTAAACTTTTACAATACTATTCAGTTCAGTACTCCAAACATGCTAGCTTGGTCATGAAATTGTGAGGTGAATTGTATGAATTTCTAATATTGATTTTAACATAAAATGTGGTTCCCTCCACATCTACATCCGAACCAAATTCCCTCCTTCATTCGTCTCTTCTTCGTTTTCTTCCCCCATTCTTTCTCTCTCTTCTCCCGCTTTTTTCTTTTCTGTACGCCCAAAACAGATCTCCCCCAACTCCTCAATTCAATTCTTAACCAAATCCCATTTCTCCCTGCGAATTCTTATTCCGCTATCCACTTCTAATTTCCTTCCCTTTTGCTTTGCTCCAAACCCTCAAGAAACCTCAAAAATCGATTCTTGAAATTGAAGACGAAAGGGAAAATTCTGGTCAGTCTTTGAGCTTTGAAAAAAGATAAAATTATGCAACAGAAGCAATCACAACAGCAGATTATGAATAAACAGTTGTCGTTCACTTCTATGAAGCCGCCGTTTGGAAGAGGAGGAGACTGTGACTACCACCACTTCTCATCCTCGGCTGCCACCGACCATGGTCGTCCACTGGCTGGTCAAGAATCTGATGAAACCATTGTCGTAATGACCCCTCCTGTAAGCCCTCATATTTTTATCTTTTTCACAAATAATTTTATTCTGTACATATTCTTTTTGTGTTTGATTTAGTAGGTATCATAGCCATAATTAATGGTTTTTCGTGTGATAAAAATTTGCACGGCTTCTTTTGTGTGCATTCTTACTTTTAGGACAAAGAATAACTAATGAAATTGCTGATGTTGAAATCGGGGGTCAATGTCTAGGTTCGTTTCAATATTTGTAGGATCAAACCAAGTTTTAGTAGAAAAAGGTGTAACCTTTTGCTGTCTAAGGAAGTATCTTGCACTGTGTTGGAATTGGATTAGAATATTTTTATAAATCACAAAGGGTTTGATTATATCTTGATTTAGTTGTCAAGATATCACATTTTTCTGTTATCTAAGTAGATTTGTGTGAATTGCTTCTGTTTATTATCTAGCAGAGATGAGTGTGAAATTTATTTTGCTGATATTCATATATTACTTGATTTCTGGAGTTCTTAGTTTGGTTTGACTCTAACATTATGATCTTTGTGTTTTTTAGGGGCGTGTTTCCGACTGTTTCCTCTCCCTTTTATATGTTCTTCGATGCATATGATTTTTTTTATTTGATTTATTTTTTTTCTTCTAGAGTTTCTTCTAGTTGTGGATACATGTAAAAATTCGATTTTAATTGATTAAAAAGCTTTATTTTTATTTGATTTTATCTGCATACTTTTCAACCTCCTTTCTCGATGTGACTATGTGTTTTGAGCTTTCCCTTTTTATTTACTGAATCTTCGAGTCCTTGCATCCGTGGATTACTTATTCTGTTGTCACTAAAAGTTCAACATTCCTTGTGTTTCTGCAATAAAAATGTAAATTGAACACAGAAGTAGATGTTAATCCTCTCAAGCAATAAATGAAGTTGAAAATCTAGGAATGTGCAAAAATACATGATGCTTTTGCACTCATTTCTGTGAAGAGGACTAAATTTTTGGAAATTGTTCGCTTGAGATATTCATGAGAGCAGGTAATAGAGAACTACATAAAACAGCAACTTCATGGACTCAGTAAACTTTATGATCCTCAGTAAGGCATCACTTTATATTCTTTATCAAGGCAAGGACTAAATCTTGAATATGGTGGTGAACTTCAGAAACCCTGATTGAGTATGCTGTATCAGTTTGGAGGCTAATTCTGCAATTTACTTAAGTAAAAATTGATTTTCAGAAGCTTGAGTGCAATTCAAAATATGAATCAATCTTTAAGTCTTGGTGACTAGTTACAGCTCTAGAAATCTGTTTTAGCGTATCGGGGCTGGCTCTGCTAGTTCATTGTCTGGAGCGTTGAAAGAGTTCTTTCTACAACCCATAATAAGTGCAGTGTGTTTGATCTTTGAAGGAGTGCTTAATCCATATTGAAATGGAGAAATTGGAGCTTATTCTACGTGCCTTTGCAGGTTGGCAACTTTAGCTTATTAAATTTGTGTATTGTATTCCAGCTTAGTGTGTTACTACATGTAGGTTTCCAATTTTATCATCGCCTCTCACGAGCACCCCCACAAATCCAATAGAGTCTAATATTCTAATATCAGTTGGCCTTATGTGGATGTGCTTAGTGTGTCACTACATGTAGGTTTCCAATTTTATTATCGCTTCTCACGAGCACCTCACAAATTTAATAGTGTCTGATATTCAATTGTGGAAGTGGTAATTGCATTTTCTTTATTATCTTGTAACTTGGTTTCCTTTATGATAAATGCGCTTTAAGTAATGCTAAAGTTTTCATCTTCCAGGTTCTGTATTTGAAAAGCATTATAAATCCCTTCTGATTCTTACCCAGTATGGTTATTTTGGACATGTTTGGTTTATCCTAGAAACCAAGTCAAGTTTCTTGTATTTCCAGCTTCTTGCTTATTCTTCTGAGAGATGCTTTAATTTATGTGAGATAATTGTTCAGTTAAGCTTAAAACATGTTGCTAAGTTTGACTTGTTTACTTTTGTGTCCACTAGCCACTAAAGCGGAAGAATGGAATGGGAGACTGTGAAGTAGGGCAAACGGAGCAGAACATAGGTCCTGGCTGTGTTGGTGTCATCGAGGCTGCGCTTCAGACACCAGTGTCAGGAAAAACTGGGAAGGCACAAAAAGTTCCAAGGACGACAAAGGCTAATAAAGCTAGATCGCAAACTCTGGTGGCAAATATTGGTGAGTAGTATTATTGTTAACTTTTCTTTTGGGCTCTAAGTTAATTATTTATTATTCTTGTGCTAGTGAGTGTAGTATCAGTTAATGGATGTTGTCCCCTCTTTTTCTTCTAATGTTGTTTTGTAAGTTGTTTTTAGTACTTATTTCCAGAAGGGAAAGACTGAAGAAGAGGATTATAGATTTCATAAATGTTATACCATGCAGGTTCCTCTTCAGGAAATATTCTCACTCCACTGGGCCCTTGTCGTTATGATAGCTCCCTCGGTAAATATTTATGCTTGTTCTGTTTTATAAATTCTCTCTCCCTCCCACCGCAAGACTTTGAATCTTGTAATAAACTAGTAAATTTTGACTTCTCTGATTGGTTATGTTTTATTTTTGAGAACTACTTATAATACTGTCATTTTACTTGCTCAGGTCTCTTAACAAAGAAGTTCATTAACTTGATCAAACATGCAGAAGATGGTATTCTTGATTTAAATAAAGCTGCCGATACATTAGAGGTAATTATATCTTTCAAGTAATGCTTCTCTTTCGACTAAGTCCAAGTGGCTGAAAATGTTGTTTCAACAGGTGCAGAAGAGGCGTATATATGATATAACAAATGTTCTCGAAGGCATTGGTCTCATAGAAAAGAAACTCAAGAATAGAATCCAGTGGAAGTATGGAAGTGCTCTTTTAGTAAATAAATTTTATAGAAGTTTCTTTTCCATTTAGTTTTTACTTCCCTTTAAGAATTGATCAGAAAATGAGAAGTTTCTAATGGGTACAATTATGAAATAGGGGTGCAGATGTCTCAAGACCAGGGGAAGTTGATGTGAGTCTTAGCAGCTTACAGGTATGAACTTAAAAATAAATAAATTGGTCCTCGACATTTGCACACTGGAGTGCATGTCCCTTCGCATGTGCTCTTTCTCTCTCTCTCTCTCTATTTTTAAAGCCTGGACAAGTTACGTGGAATATGTCTTGCATAGACCTAAAGAAACTCTTTAAAGATTGATGCAATCTGAGTAAAACATGTTTGAAGAGGGTGGATGGACCAAAATTAACATTAACCTAGAGCCAACTCCAAATTTATTGTAATAGTGTTGTTGATGGAGGGGGATGGACCAAAATTAACATGACCTAGAGCCGACTCCAAATTTATTGTAATAAGACTCAGTTTGTTGTTGATGATGTTGGATATTTCTTTCTTCCTTCTACTTAGCTGCATGATATGCTCACAGTTTATTATTGTTGTTTTATTCTTCCTGTTTTGTTATAAACATACAACTTAAATTGTCCCATCCATGCTGTATGAGTTCAAATGCCCAAGTGGAGCTCTTCTGCATTAGAAGATTGACAGCTGGGATCAGTTATGTTAAAATTCTCATAGCTAACTGCAAGAAACATCTATTAGTTGAATTATTCATTCATTTATTTTGTTCTACATACCTCATGCTGCGTCCATTTTCATTTGACAGCGGATGCATCTTTAATAATATGCATAACTGAGCTATAAACTTTGAAAGCGAAAGGGAACTGAGCATCATTTAGATTCTGGTCGTGAGTTAGATTAGTCCTCATCAAATTTTTGCTCCTCGCAGGCAGAAGTAGAAAACTTGAACATGGAGGAGCACAAATTCGATAAACGAATAAGGTCATAATTTGACACTTCTATCATTTCATTAAAAGAAATGTATTTTTCCTGAAGCAATCTTGATCACGTGACTTTTCCATTTATGTTTCTTGTTTTCAGTGAAATGCAGGGAAAGCTGAGGAGCCTAAGTGAAGATGAAAACAATCAAAAGTAACCCTCTGCTTTTTCATTCAACTAAATAATTTTAATTTGAGGTGGCTAACTCACATTTTGATTGTTACTTACATTTTTTATTTTCCTCTTTGCCAGGTGGCTCTTTGTCACCGAAGAAGACATCAAAAACTTACCTTGCTTTCAGGTATAGATATGGTATCAGTTCAACCTGCAGCTTTCACTTGTTAATTAGTACTAAAAATGGAGATGTTGCTTTCATCAGAATGAAACTCTCATAGCAATTAAAGCTCCACATGGCACTACTTTAGAAGTTCCATACCCTGATGAGGTAATTTTCCTCATTTCACCTGATTTAGTAACCAATAACTTGGCCTCTTGGATTTATAATATTGTTGAAAATTTTGTGCTCTTAATATGCAATCATGCAAATTCTCTCCCCTATCAGGCCGTTGATTATCCACAGAGGAGATATAGAGTAGTTCTTCGGAGCACCATGGGCCCTATAGATGTTTACCTTGTCAGGTAATCTACATATGCATTTTCCTCCTACTTTTTTTTTGTTGGGAAAATTGCATATTCTATTGCTTAGCACTTCTTAATCAAGGCTGACCTCCATCTAGAAAACCTTTTTTTTTTTTTTTTGAGGTTTGATTTTTCTCACTGTTAATTGACTTAGCCAATTTGAGGAAAAGTTTGAGGAGATAAATGCGTCTGAAGTGGAAGCAAGCATTCCTTCAACATCAGGTGCTGATGAGAATGAATCTGCACTACCAGCAACTGAGGAGAGCAAAGGAAATGAAGTTTATTTGCAAGGAATAGAAGCTCAAAGATTATGCACAGACATGAACACATCACAGGATTTTGTGAGTGGAATCATGAAGATTGTGCCTGATGTTGATGTAAGTCATCAATGTGATAACAAAGAAATCTTTTTTGGTAAATATTCAGGGATTCAAAGATGTGAAAATTAAAATTCAGGGCATCATTAGAATTGTTTCAAAGCAAGCACAACATTTGACGAGCAATAAATTTTGCGTTATTAACAAATCATCATCATCATCTTAGAGCTTTTTTACAATGGTGAGGCAAATATGGAGAAAATTTCTATACTTCGGGAATAAGGAACTCAGTACTTCCTGCCACTATTTAATTGTGGGTCCCAGTTACTTAATACACATATAACGAGTACTCCGTATTCCTGAAGTATTAGAAATTTTCGTGCGGAAGCATTAATATCCTAGCTTTTCTTGTTGAGCTGTTAGAAAGAAGTATACGTTCTTAATGTAGATTAGTTTTCCAATTACTAAATATACCCTTTGGCAATTGCAGAATGATGCTGATTATTGGCTATTGTCAGATGCTGATGTAAGCATCACAGATATGTGGAGGACAGAATGTATCCTAACTTGAATCAGTTTTTAGCTTTCTTTATTCTTCTTTTTTAATTCTCGAAAGATACTCTTCTCAACCATGTAACCAAATTCCATGACTCCATACTATAGCTGAGGTTGACTGGAATAGCTTGGATACCATTCATGAAGGCTATGGTATGGCTGATGTCAGTGTGCCAAGACCCCAAACTCCAGTGCCTAGTACTACTGCAATGCCTTCTGTAGCCAGCACCTCAGGGAGTTAAAAGGAGATATTGTAATGATTCTGAATAAAGACACTCGGGCTTATTGCTCTTTGTGAGATATTGAAAACTGAGATCCCAAAAGAGTGCCTCAACACGATCATTTTCTTGGGTTACCATCCAAGTGTTCTTTGTAAGTCAGAAGTGCCGGAGAATAGAGGGACCAAGGGTCCTTTTTACAGTATTTGTTTAAATAATTTGTGTAATAGAAATAAATAAATAGTTGCCGACAGAATTTAGGCTCTGTATATTTTTAAATTTGTTGCTGTCACATTATGACAAATAGATAGGCCGTCTTTTGTAAAATATTCGTCTAGATCATGTAATATTATATTCAGCAAATTCTAGAAGTTTCAGTTCATGCTAATCTGTGAGGTACAATATTTTATTTTTATTTTATTTTCTCCAATGACCAGTCCATCTGTTGCATGGAAAAGGATGACGAACTTGCCGTCTCCCTTTATTTTCTTGGCCTTCTATTTCTTTTTCTTCCTTGAAGAAGTTCCAACTTATGCCATTTTTGCTCATTCATCAGTTTTTCAATTTTTAAAGAAAAATTACATGGTAAATATGCAATGCCCGTCTCGTCATGGAATTAAAATATGCAATGCCAGTCTCATTAAATAGAATTAAAATAACAACTAAATATGGAAGCAATCAATTACAATATTAATTAATGGTACAAACAATCTATCTATATCTAATACAATTATAATAATTTAATCGTAATCTTCGACGATTTTCGAAATTTTATTCAAGCTCCTTGACAGTTAACTAGCATATGGATAATTTCGACGATTTTCGGAATCTTATTCTTCCTTGAGTCACTCGCCACAATTACATGATTGTATGTTGAATTGTCTAGACAACAATGATAGTACTGTGTAGAAATTTTGCAAGCTTAATTTTCTACCTAATGGAGAGAATAAGATCAACATATCAATGAAATGCTAGAAGCCACAGAGAGGTTGATAAACCATATTGGCCAATATATGACCATTATTTTTTCAGGAAATTGGATCCACATATTTCTTAATTGCCATTCAACAATTTTCAAGTCGTCGATCCAGGTGTATTAATGATAATACTCGAACAACTATCATTGCTAGAGAACATAAAACAAAATATCAATAAAATCAATATTTATTAAAGTTAAGAGAAACAGGAGAAATATCTTGCGGTTCTCCATGAACTCTATTAAACATGAGAATTGAATAGGGGAAAACATATCAATGAAATATTTTATGGAAATTAATCAAACATGGAAAACTTGGAATTTGCAATCGTGACGCCGCCATCAACAAAAAGGTTGTGTCCATGCACACACTTCGATTCATCACTTGCCAAGAACAGAACGGCTTCGGCCACATCCTCTGGCTGAAGATAAACACCTTTGAGGACGGAATATACACCACGGCATCCCTCATCATCCATTTTGTAGAATTCCTTTGATTGACGTGTAGGAACTACGTGTGGTGACACGCAGTTTACGCGAATGCCATGCTGTCCAAGCTCCACAGCCAAATTCTTTGTGAGTCCTACCACCCCATGTTTTGAACTTACGTAATTGTGTGAAGTACCTCTGCCTATTTTCGAACAAGTACTCGCTGTTGTGATTATGTTCACACGACGATTTGGGAACATAACCCTGGCAGCGTGTTTAGCACCCAAGAACGCACCTACGAGATTTACATTAATAATCTTTTCGAACTCTGATTTTTCGATTTCAAGAATGCTTGGATTTGGTACCCCACCTATTCCAGCATTATTGTGCAGTATATCTAATTTCCCAAATTTGGCCACTGCTGTGTTAACTGCAGTTTCTACATCGGATTCTTTAGTTACATCACAATGGACAAAAGAGGTTGATGATGGTCCCAATTCCTTGCATATCTTCTCTCCCAATTCATCATTGACGTCTGCAACCAGAACTTTAGCACCATGTTTGGCGAACAATCTAGCAGTTGACTCGCCGATTCCAGTAGCAGCACCGGTGATTAGGGCTACCTTGCCTTCCAGCCTAGATTCATTCAATTTGTTAGTACAATATTCATAGTCTACAGAAAACATGTGTGATAATTTCGAATCCAACTATCAAAATAAAAAAGCTCTTTTACTTTGAGAAAAAGCCTCAAGAATTAAAAAATTAAAGAGTTATAATACCTTCTAACCAAAGTTGAAGCCATTGATGAACTTCCCACAGATCTTCTTTGCGGTGAATGTGAATTGTTGTTTCTCTGTACTTGTAACCGTCTTTTATAATTCCAAACATGCAGAGAGGATAAAGAAGTCTACACGCAACGCAATAGTCGGCATTTATTTCTAACGAAAAACTGATTTTAAGGATAACCATTCTCTAATTTCCACGTCATTTCCAGCTCAATTAGGCTTTTATTTCTGATTTTAAGATAATTATTCTCTCTTTCCACGTCAATTCCAGCGCCATTAGGCATTTATTTCTAAATAAACTGATTTTTAAGATATAATTATTTTCTCTTTCCTCGTCAATTCCAACGCAATTAAGCATTTATTTCCAACTAAACTAATTTTTAAGATAATTATTTTCTCGTTCCACGTCATTTCCACGTACTTGTGTCCACATTAATTGAATTATTGCAATATTTCCAAATAATGTTTACTCGTTTAAAAAGGAAGTGACTAATTTTTATTTTTATTATTTTATTGTTATATGTCGCCCTGTAGAAAATAAAATCGATGGACTTCATAGTCTTGTCGGTTACAATAAAATAATTGTCATATCACAAAAGATAAGGTTTATCATCAATGTGCGATTAGTCCCTTTTTTTTTGCGGAAGAGATTCTTAAGAAAGTCAATTTTAAACCAACTTCCTGTAAATGTTCTTTATAAATAAAATACATCTAAACCGTTATTTAAACAGATCCAATGTTGACAATATATATGGAAAATAGGCAGAGGCTGTTTGACTATTCGTAGCACAGTCCACAAAGCAACTCATGATTCATGGCAACTTGTCAAGAAAATAAACACAAGATTGATCTTTAAAAGCTGTTTTGGCAACAAAATTGTGACATTACACGACCAAGTAATGGAAAATTTCTTACATTATCAACATTCATTCCAATCCAACCAACAACAATAGGTGTAAGAGCTACACTAGGATTTTTTTTACAACTCCAATTAGGGATGGTAACCGGACGGGGAGGCCTCCCCGCTAAGAAATTTCCCGCACCGTTACCCGTTTAAGGCAGGCGGGGAGTGTCCTTTCTCCGTTTATTGCCGGTTTAATTTTTTTTTATTTTAGTTTTTGATAATTTATTTTTATTGTTCATATTCAATAGATTTAGACAAATAATTTTAGTTGCTATTTTCTATTAGAACTAATGAAAATTTTCATTTAAAATATTAAATTCTAAAAAAAAAAAAGTTTAACGGGGCAGGGCAGGGCCCCCGTCCCAGCCCCGGGGCAAAATTCCCCGCCCTTTACCCGATTTAAGCGGGTTATCTCCACTCCATTTTGGGCGGGGCCACGCGAGTATCGAGTTTGTCGGATTTTTTTTTGCTATCCTTAGCTCCAATCAAATGTTATATGTCATTTTTGTATGACACCACGACTTATTGTGCCCAAAAAGGAAAATTCCCTAAGTACATTGATTCTTTCACAAAATCCATACAGGGGTTGCTATGGCCGCACCTGATTTGTAGACAATTTTTTGGTATTTTGTTATCTGCCAATAAATTTGTGCCATGTGAAATTTTGTAAAATTTATGTGAAAATTTCCTTGTAGCATTACTTGCCCAAAAATAGGGGAAAAATGTATTATCATAACAATTTCAGACCAAGTAATTACCCATTATTTGAACACAAGAATTAATTTTTTGACCCTTTTTTCCAACACATTGGTCTCACTATGAGATGGTGCAGTCAAAAGTTGCGGCTGTTGCTACATGTAACGGTTTGAATTTTCATTAAAATAAGGTAAAAAATTGGTCCCAAAAATCTGTGAAGCACATGTCCTAGGAAGCACCTCCAAGGTCTTGAGTACAAAGAAGAAAGTGAATTATAAGTGACAGAAGATTTTTATCCAAAATACAGTGGTGCCTTATACATTCAGAAAATTGAGCTAAATATCAATTAAGATCTACGAGATTATGTGAAAAATGAAAATAGGTGCAATTTAGAAGAAAAGACTCATTTTCGTAGCCCATGTTGATTCTTTGAAAATCTGCAAATGTACGGGATCATTGTCAAGTAATAAAGTGATGAATAAAGTGTCAAACCTACGAGAATTATGTGTTTGATCGAGTTAAAATTAATTGCAACTATAATCAAATATCAAAAAAATGTTGTGATTTTTCTATACTAATCCCTAGATTATCAATTAAACTAGTGAAAGTAAGTAAATGTATTTTTCAAATATATGAAATGTATTGCTAAGACGTTGAATCCCCCATGTTATTCCATTTTTAGTATAATAATTAAAGCGAAAATTTTAAATCAATCATGTTGTTAATGTTTCTAATTTAATTGAAAACATCTCTCGATAGTAATCAAATATATTCCTTTCATGTGACTCTTATATCTTTCGATAAAAGACACAAACATGATAAATGCATTAATAAGTGCTAGACCACCTATTAAAACCATATAAAACGTAGATGTATGTCTCTATAATCTATCGAACCATACAATATTTATTTTCTCAATAACAATAAAATTCACCAACAATTCAATTGATGATCAAGTAATTGAAAAAATGATAAAAACGATAATAAATATCAACAAATCAAATAAAATTAAATTCAAAATAATTAATAACTTAACAATGTATACAATTAATCTAACATATCGAAATTACAAGAAATCATAATTAAGTGAAAAAATATAACCCGAATTTTTAATAAATTGAGAAGATGAAGATGAATCTTGAAATCTTGAATTTCTTCGATGATTTTTTGATGAATCTCAACTTGCGTCTTATCTTCTTTATCTAAAAATCAAGTTTGAATATTCACTTGATTG